AGTGCCTACTAGCTGAAGTCCAACTGGACTTCAAATAGGCGCTGCAACTGGCTTTGTCATTAGAAAATGCGGCAAGTGGAAAATGGGAGCCACAGGGCATCCAAATGTAAGAGGTCTCCCTCACCTATCTGACTGAGCTTGGGGAACACCACTTGAGTATAGGCAATCACACAGCCTCACGCAGGGCGTATCCTGAGCAGAAGGACCCTAGGCCAGCCCACAGCAGAACCCCACAACAAAGCCAAGCCTTGGTCATGTGGCTAAGAAGTTCTTCAGAATCTGGGCCTGCAAGTCATTGTAGTTGTTTCTAGTAAGCAGACTCAAGACAGCAAAGGAGTCCTAAAAGGTGTGACTTGAGTAAGAAAGCTTGTAGGCCAGTACCCAGGAGAATGCACACCCTGGAAAGTCCCCCTATATGTGGGTTAGAACAATTAAATTGCTTAGCGACATCCAAATCAGAACCAATTAAAATTAATGTTTGGTTAAATGGTCACCCAGTTCCCATGGAGGTCAATACCCACGCAGCTATGTCTGTGGATGTAAAATCCGTCTTTAACAACATTTTCTCAGCATTCCAACCCTTATGCTTGCACAAGACCTCAGCTAGACTGAGAGCATACACTGGGGAAACGTTGCAGATTAAGGGTACAACTTCAGTTCCAGTCTCCTATGAGAAGTGGTTAGCACATTACCACTGATGGTAGTAAAAGGCTCGGGCCCAAGACTATTGGGGCAGAATTGGTTGAGAAAGATCCACCTTGATCGGCTCAACATTTTTCGATTAGAAAATGACTGTCTCAGTGAAGTCCTAGTGAAATACCCAGGAGCTTTTCAGGAAGGCCTTGGGACAATCAAAGGGGACAAGGCCACTTTACATGTTGACCAGAAAGCAATTCCGATATTTTGCATGCCTGCCCAGTGCCATTTGCCTTGCAGGCAAAAGTAGAGGTGGACAACAGGATGCTGGAGAGTGAAGGGATTATCAAACCAGTTTAGTTTGCAGAATGGGCAGTACCGCTCGTACCGATTGTGAAACCTGACAGCTCAGTTCGCCATTGTGGGGATTTTGAGCAAACAGTAAACTGCTTCTCACAGCTAGATCAATACCCGATCCCTCGCATAGAGGACTTTTATGCAAAGTTGGCAGGGGGGGTGCTGTCCTTTATGAGCCACACCCACCTGCAATTGCAACTGGATGAGGAGTCCCAGACATAAGCTAAAATTAATACCCATAAGGGTTTATATTAATATTTAAGACTGTCATTTGAGGTCCCATCAGCCTGCGCCCTTTCCCACTGGGCCATGGAGAACATTTTACAAGGGCTACCCCAAGTTGCCATTTATCTGGATGACATGCTAATAACTGGAAAGCCAATAAAGAGCACTTGGAGAACCTGGACAAAGTGCTTAAACTTTTGTCCCAGGTGGGTATACGTTTTAGAAGGGAAAATGTGTGTTCCAGGCACCCAAAGTGACCTACTTGGGTGACAGAGTCGACAATGGAAGACAAAGTGAGAGTGATAAAAGGAGTCCCAACTCCCACGTCTGTTCCGCAGCTTAGGTCTTTCCTTAACTTAGTGAATTATGACGGAAAATTCATGGAAACCTGGCCTCCATCTTGGCACCCTTACACCTGCTATTGAAAAATGGTCAGCTTTGGAAATGGTCACATAGCCAAGAAGTAGCCTTTAGAGAAGTGAAAAAGCAGCTATCGTCATTTAAGGTTTTGGCCCACTATGATCCGAAGCAAGAGGTAATGCTGACAATGCAATGCCTCCCCATATGGTATCAGGATAGTGATGTCTCACTGGTGGTCCAAAAGAGAGGAACGCCCGACAGCGTATGCTTACCGGGCTTTGGCTAATACCAAATGCAAATATGCTCAGATAGAGAAGGAAGGTTTGGGGTTATCTTTGGTGTGAGGATGTTCCACTAGTACTAGAATTTGTCAGAGTCACAGATCACAAACCTTTGCTCGGGCTACTGAAGGAAGACAAGGTGATGCTGCTCATAGCTTCTAGTAGAATTCAGCATTGGGCCCTTATTCTCAGCGTGTACAAGTTAGAACACCATCCAGGAAGCCGACTGGCTAATGTGGATGCCTTGAGCTGCCTCCCACTGGCAAATGCTCCACTGGTGGTGCCTCCCTTGGAAAAATCCGTTTTGGTTTTAAACTTCCCGGGCACTCTTCTTGTCATTGCTGACAACCACCGAAGTGGACAAAAAAAAGATCCTGTCCTAGTGAAACTAAAACAGCTGGTGGCAATGGGGGAAACAGAAGAGCAACTAGGATTAAAACTTTTCTCGAGCCGATCACCGCAGAGGACAGCATATTACTATGGGAAGCAAGGGGGATTGTCCTGAGTAAAGGTCACCGACAGATACTGGCCGAATTCCACCCGGGGCATGCAAGGGTTTCCAAGATGAAGATGCTAGCAAGAAGCTATGTTTGGCCAGGTTTGGATGCTAACATAGCTGCTTTGGTGGGGCAATGCCCAGAATGCCAGCAATGACAAAAATTGCCATCAGCAGCAGCCCCACATTTGTGGGAATGGCTGGGTAAACCCTGGATTCAGCTGCATTTCGACTATGCCACCTTTCATGTTCCTGGTTATTGTAGACACCCATTCAAAGTGGTTGGACATATATAAAGTTCATTCCACAAACTCAGGGATGACGATTGAGAAGCTGCGAGCATCGTTCATGATACACAGTCTCCCGGAAGTATGGACAATGGGACGTCATTCACCAGCAGGGAATTTGAATATTTCCTAAAGTCAAACAGCATTGGCACATAAGGACAGTTCCATACTATCCATCGTCCAATAGTCTAGCAGGAAGAGCAGTCCAAATGATGAAGGCAGGCTTAAAGTTGCAGCCTATGGCATCACTTGATACCAAACTATAGGAACACGCCACACACAACAACAGGGATAGCTCCAGCAGAGTTGCTGATGGGGAGAAGACTCTGCACCAGGTTAAACCTGATTTTTCCAGACCTGTGGGGAGGGTGAAACAGCAGCAGGAATGCCAATGCCAGCCATATGCCTCCTCTAAGCGAGAGAGAAAATTAAGTTCAGGGGATAAAGTTTGGTGCCGGAACAAGGGGAATGGCCCTGTATGGGTATGTGCCTTACCAATTTCATGTAGGTGATACAGTCCTGAACAAACACATGGATCACCTGAAAGCTGTTACCTCACAAATGAGGCAGGAGCAAACATACCTTGCCCTTCAGAACAGCCAGAAGACCTGTCAGAAACTGCGTGTTCTCCCCCTCCATCTAGTGTTGAGGAAACCTCAGAGTGCAAGATGGATGCAGCTTTGATACCATTGTCATCGGAAGAAGAAGAGGAAACTCTCCCAAAATGATCCGGATGCAAGGGAAGGGCTATGGTCTGGATCACGCCACCCATGTCAGAGTCCGAGTCAGAGGAACCAGACCTGGGGTGAAAATGTCACAGGAAAAGCTACAAGAAAAAGACCAGGCCTGCAGCCCTGGACTTAGTGAGGGAGGGATCTAGTGATTGGAAACAACTAGATTTTGTTGACTATGAGATCCTCGAGTGGGGTTGTTAACGTTGGCCAATCAGGAAGCCCTGGCTGACCAATATAAACAGGAGATTGGGGGGGGGGTCGTTATGGCGGACTGCCTGCCCCTTTTCCATAGCTACATTCATGCCCGGGTGTTCCTGGAGAAGGAGCACACAGTGTCCACCAATACTTCTTGATGCCTTTTGAGAGAGGTGGGCACCACGGCGTGCGGAGTGCTGCATTTACAATGGTAGTCAATTAGACAGGTGATAGAGTAAAGTAGCTATTCCTTTATAAATGTAAGCTTATAAGCTCAATGAAGTGTCACCTTCCATATATGTGCCCTGAAAAACTTTTCTTTTTCCTTTGCCTCATACTAGGTGTTCTGTGAACTGGCAGCAATTGACATAGTGGACTTTAAAAATGCCAGAAGGTCCTGGAAGCAATGAGTACATCCATGCTGATGAGCTCATACTTGCACAAGCGCAGCAGCGAAATCATGTGGGACTATTATGATGAGGTGAGCAGTGGAGAATTGCATGATACAATTTACTGGAGTACAATCCATGCTGTATGTCTCTATGATATAGCAAAACCCTCCATGGAACTTACCCAAATTGACACTTTGTTGATTTTTGGTAAAATTCAACCCGTGGTTACTGGCCAGAATTATTCCAAGTAGTCTGTAAACACGTGGGGACTTTTAATCCGGATACAAAATTCACACAAGTTTACAAATGGCATCTTTTAAATATTTAGTAGGGTTAAATTAGGATTTTCAATGTTTGGATTAATTCTGATAAATCCTGATTTGGATTAATGTTGGGTTGGAAATCTTTTTGCAATTCTCAAGAGTATTTTTTAAAAAATATGTTTTCATACTTCTAATTGAATCTTGAAAATGGTCAGAATTGAAACCACTGGTTCAAAAAGAATTACATAAAAATCACTTTGAGACAAAAACTAAAAGAAACTGGAAAGAACTGACATCATCTATTATATGTTTCCAATATGAGAAAAAGCTGTGAAAAGGTTGTTTTCTAAAATATAAACATAGCTTCCTCAAGTAAAGGGTCCAAAGCTGTCTGCAATACTTCACATATAGTCTCACTCATGCCCGGTACAGTTTCAGCAACACTTCCCTATGTTTATACTCTATTCCTTTAGCAATAAATGTCAAAATTCCATTAACCTTCTTTAATACCTGCTTTAACTACATAGTACAAAAACAAAGTTGCTGGAAAAGCTCAGCAGGTCTGGCAGAATCTGTGAAGGAAAAAACAGAGTTAATGTTTCGGGTCCGGTGACCCTTCCTCAGAACAGCATAGTAGTTTTCTGCAATTCATGTACGAGGATAAACATCTTCTGTACCAAAGCACTCTGAAGTTTCTCTCCATTTTGATAATAAGTTCCCTTTCGCTTCTTCCGGCCAGGCATATATAATGTGTAAACATTAACTAACTCTTACCGGTATTCAGTTCAATAAAGTCTACTGTAACGATGGAGCTGAGTTCCTCAATCTCTCGTTCAAAACCAGCATAGTACTCTATTTTGGCTCGGAGTTCATATAGACTGGGGTTACTGTCCATAAATTTCTACATGGAAACAGTTGGAAAGAAATCATAATTTTAATTTAAACACAAAGTGTTTGGAGCTATTAGATCTAAGTATGTATAATTTGCTGAAGGTGGCCTTCATTATAACTTGAATTGAAATAAAGGATCAACCAAGATTTTTTTATTCATTCATGGGATGTGAGCAGCACTGGCTAGACCAGCATTTATTGCCCATCCCTAATTGTCCAGAGGGCAGTTGAGAGTCAACCACATTGCTGTGGGTCTGGAGTCACATGTAGGCCAGACCAGTTAAGGATGGCAGTTTCCTGCCCTAAAGGACATCAGTGAACAGATGGGTTTTTATGGTTCATGGTCATCATCAGACTCTTAATCCCAGATTTTTTTTTAAAAAATTGAATTCAAATTCCACCATGGCAGGATTTGAACCCAGGTCCCCAGAACATTACCTAGGTCTCTGGATTAACAGTCCAGTAATAATAGCACTAGGCCATTGCTCCCCTTATCATAATGAATAGTCAAGCAAGATTAATTAGAAAAAGGTGATGTAGCTGTATGGTTAACTGCTGTTCCTGTTAAAATAACAGGTCTTATCAGGTCTTAATGAGGTCTTCGCTCTTAGAACATAGAACAGTACAGCACAGTACAGGCCCTTCGGCCCACGATGTTGTGCCTAACTTTTACCCTAATCCTAAAGTCTATCTAACCTCCACCCCTACCTTATACTATCATCCATATGCCTATCTAATAGCCGCTTAAATGTGTTCTCTCCACACACCCGCCGCTGAAAACAAGAAGGCCTGCTGCACGATGTAAGTTTTTATACAGTGTAAGTTTTCAATACACTCTTTGAGTACATATTGACATACTTTATCAAATATAACTATTTACTACACATGATGAGAGGGCAAAGGCTGCTGAAGGCTTTTAGCCTTAGGTTCCAATTCCACGTGATCTGATATCAGTGTGACCCAGCTCCTTTTGAACCCATTCAGTAGCTATTCTTGGAGTTAAGAAATATATAAGCCTTTCCTCTATACCTGTTCCTTATGTTCTCATGACTCACACAGCGAGTAATTTGGGTGTAGAATGCACTGACTGGAATATACAGTGGAGAGAGGTTTAATTGAGGCATTCAAGAAGTGTTGGAGGATTATTTGAGTAGAGATAGTGTGCAAGATTATGGGGAAAAGCAGGAGATTGGCACTAGGAAATGATTTTCATTTGAAGAGCTAGTGCAGGCACAATGGGCTAAATGGTTTCCTTCTGTGCCATTACAATTCTGTGATTTTCAGTTAGCATGGCAGCAGATTTGGGAGGTGACAACAGAGTTTATGCTAATTTTTTTCCCTGCCAGGGTGGTATAGTGACAATATCACTGAACCAGCAGCCCAGAGCTCAGACCAATACTCTGGAGAGATTTAATTTAAATTTTAAAATCAATGAATACATGTGGAATGCTTACGCCCAGCAATGCTGTCACAAAACTATCAATGTTGTTGTAAAGACCCATCTGCCATCCTTGCCTGGTCCTGACAAGTGACTCCAGGCCCACAGTAATGTAACTGACTCTGAAATGTCCTATGAAATCGTTTAGCAAACAAATCATTTCAAGGGTAGTGAGGATGGAGAACAAATACTTGCCATCCAGTGATTCCAAAATCCCACAGCAGAGTAATGAAAATAAATCTTGATGAGCAGGTGATTTATTTAAGTACACATTCCCTGTAAATTATTTTACGTGGCCATATACATATGGGTAACTTCTTCCAGGACCTTCCATGCAAGGATCTCCTAGAAGTGCAGAATGCAACATCAGAGAGCTCTGCTGCAACAGAGTCAGGGAAGACAGGACACATTTTGTTTAAAGTACTAGCTGCCATGTGGTAAATGTTCAGTTTGAATGTGGCTGAATAGATTGGTGGATGAATGAATAAACAAGTAAAGTCATAGGTTTTATTCTTCACTGGGCAATGTGGGCTTAGGTAGCTGTGCCAACATTTAGTGCCCATTCCAGTTTCAACTGTCATTTTTGTTATAAGTTTATCCAAAGGCACTAAAGGGATGTGGATGACTTTGGCTGGTTCAGCATTTATTGGGCATCCCGAGCCACCCACGAGAAACAAAGAAACATAGAAGTTAAGAGTAGGCTGTTCAGCCCTTTGAGCTTGCTCCAACATTCAATATGATCATGGCTGATCCTCCATCTCAATGTCATATTCCAAATCAAATTTGATTAGAAATAGTCAGCATGGCTTTATGAGGGGCAGGTCATGCCCCACAAGCCTTATTGAATTCTTTGAGGATGTGACAAAATACATTGATGAAGTTAGACCAGTGGATTTTAGCAAGGCATTTGATAAGGTTCCACGTGTTAGGCTCATTCAGAAAGTAAGGAGGCATGGGATTCAGGGAAATTTGGCTGTCTGGATACAGAATTGGCTGTCCAATAGAAGACAGAGGGTAGTAGTAGATGGAAAGTATTTAATCTGGAGCTCGGTGACCAGTGGTGTTCCGCAGGGATCTGTTCTGGGACCTCTGCTCTTTGTGAACTTTATAAATAACTTGGATGAGGAAGTGGAAGGGTGGGTTAGTAAGTTTGCCGATGACACGAAGGTTGGTGGAGTTGTGGATAGTGTGGAGGGCTGTTGTAGGTTGCATTCGGACATTGACAGGATGCAGAGCTGGGCAAGGAAGTGGTACATGGAATTCAACCCAGAAAAGTGTGACGTGATTCATTTTGGAAGGTTGAGTTTGAATGCAGAATACAGGGTTAATGGCAGGATTCTCAGCAGTGTGGAGGAACAGACTGATCTCAGGGTCTACGTCCATAGATCCCTCAAAGTTGCTACAAAGTTGATAGGGTTGTAAAGAAGGCGTATGGTGTGTTGGCTTTCATTGGCAGGGGAATTGAGTTTAAAAGCCGTGAGGTTATACTGACAAAGGTGTCGTCCACATAGCGTATCCATAGTGGACAACAACTTTGTCATCATTAAATGGACCAAACTAGAGGAGACACACAAACTAATAAACAACACCCTCACCGGAATAAAATTCACCAGAGAGGAGGAGAAGAACAAACAGCTCCCATTCCTGGACGTCACGGTAGAGCACAGGACAAATGGGGAACTCCAAACGAAAGTACACAGAAAAGCTACACAGACTGACCAAGTACTAAATGTCAACAGTAACCATCCCAACACACACAAACAAAGCTGTGTGCAAACATTACTTAAACGGGCAACAACACACCGGAGCAGCACTGAACTACGCCGAGACGAAGAAGAATACCTCTTCCATGTTTTCAAGGACAATGGATATCCAAAAACTGGGTCAGAAGATGCCTATTACATGAATAACACCAGGAAGATACTACACGCCCCGACAGGCTCATCACACTATCTTACATCAGGAACACATCGGAACTAACCACAAGACTCCTACAACAACTGGGCATCAGAGTGGCACACAAACCCACATCAACCCTACGCCAACTGCTCACCCAAACCAAAGACCCACTACCCACTATGGACAGGACCAATGTCACATACAAGATTCTCTGCAGAGACTGTGACAAACACTACATCGGACAAACAGGAAGGAAATTAACAACAAGGGTACACGAACACCAATTGGCCACAAAAAGACACGACCAATACTCACTCATCTCTATCCACATGGATAAGAAGAACTACCAATTCGATTGGGATAACACCAAGATCCTGAGACAAGCAAAGCAGAGACAGGCACAGGATTTCCTAGAAACCTGGTACCACAAAGAAAGCCATCAACAAACACATAGAACTCGACCCCATATACACTCCATTGCGAAGGAAAATCCGAAGTGAGGTAATCCAACCCAACGGACTCCAGAGTTTAAAAACCAGGCGGGAAAACACAATGGCACTTCATCGGAGGCTGCATTGATGATGTTACCCAGCAGAGTAATGAAACATCTGCGGAACACCAACGAACCAGCTCAGCGAGCCAACCAACTACAACATCGAGCTACATATCTACTTCAAAACCATATCAATCTCTTTCTTGAACATATTCAATGACTCACCCTACACAGCCTTTTGTGGTAGCAAATTCTACAGGTTGACCACCCTCTGAATGAAGTAATGCTTTATCATTTCAGCTCTAAATGGCTTATCTGGTCACCTGAGACTGTGTCCCCTAGTTCTAGAAACCCCAACCATGAAACACAAAGTCCTTGTGGTCAATCTGTCTACCACTGTTAGAATGTTGTGTTTCAATCAAATCCCCTTTCATTCTTCTAAATGCTAGTGAATACAAGCCTAGTTGAGTCAATCTCTTCTCATGTGACAATCTTGCCAAAACTAGTATTAGCCCAGTGAAGCTTTGCTGAACTATTTCTATGGCAAGTATATCCTATCTGCATGCAATGCTCCAGGTGTGGTCTCTCCAAAGCCCTGTATAACTGCAGTGAAACATCTCGACATCTGAAATGAAATCCTCTTGCAATGAAGATCAACATGTCATTTGCCTTCATAATTTCTTGCTGCACCAGTCTACTCTCATTAACTGGTATATAAGATCCCGTTGTACCACATTTTCTAATATATTGACATTTAAATAATATATTGTGTTTCTGTTTTTCACACCAAAGCGTATAATTTCACATTTACCAATGTTATACTGCATCCATTATTTGTTTGCCTACACACCTGAAGCCTTCTTGTATCATCCTCACAATTTACAATCCCCTAATTTTGTGCTGTCAACCAAATTAGAAATGTTGCATTTGGCTCCCTCATCCAAGTCATTTATACATCACAAATATCTGGAGTCCAAGCACTAGCATACCACTAGCCACTGCCTGTCACTTGGAAAAAAGATCCATTTATTCCCATCCTGTTTCCTCTCTGTCAATTTTCAATCCATGACAATTTATTACCCCAATCCTGTATGCTTTAATTTTGCCCACTAACCTCTGATATGGTATCTGATCAAAGTACATCACATCCACTTGTTCTCCCTTATCTATACTTCTTGCT